TCCCTCCCTCCCTCCCTTCCTTCCTTCCTTCCTTCCTTCCTTCCTTCCTTTATATTTTTCATTTGTTGTTGGCCAGAAATGTTCCAGAAGGAACAGGTTGGATTATGGATGGATTTCCTGCGACCATCAACCAAGCAAAGGTAAATAATAAAACTTGGATACAGAAAAGGATGGTAAAGTTTTCGTGAAATTTCCACTTCATTTTGGTGTAGCCTCAATATCATACATTTTCTTTTTTTCCAATTTTTTTCCCAAACGTTTTTCAATGATGATGCTTCGCAGACCCCAAAGCCTGTGTAACAAAAATGTTTAGAAATATGTAGAATAAACCAGTTAGAATATAAGCCTCAATATCGTTAATTTTCAGAATGATTCCAACATCTAACAATATTGTTTAGTTGCTATGAAATTTAATCAGTAAAATTTTGAAGTTTTGTGCAGGGTCAAACCTTTTTATTTTGACTAAAGCTGTTTCCTTGTTGACTTGAATTTCTTACTGAGTAAAAGAGGGAGGTCTACAATCATTTAAGATAATAACTGCGAATACTCCAGTCATGAATTTCTTACTGAGTAAAGGGGGGAGGCCTACAACCATTTAAAAAAATATAACTGCGAATCCCCCAGCCCTCCCCACCACAAAAAATCTTCCTTAATGAATTTTCTTATCAGATTTTAGAGAAGGCGTTGACAGGATACGATGATCAAAAACAGGCTAAAGAATCAAAATCTGCAAAGGAACCTGGGAAAGTTAGCAGGACCAAGAAATCTAGACTAGCACCAGACCCCCACCCAGCCCCTGAGGTATGTAAAATGGTTTAATTATATTTTTGCTACTCAGCGTCATACTGTTGACTGTCTTCGTTTTGTATTTTAATAGGCTCCTCCCCACAAGGCTGGAATCGATCTTGTTGTACTCTTTGATCTCCCAGATGAAGTGGCGCTCAGGAGAGCTGAAGGCAGAACATGTGAGTACAGCTTGCATTTTTTTCCAGATAATTATTCAATTGTAAAAACTCTATTCAATATTTATAAAATAACTGCTCTAAATCTCGCGTTCTGATTGGTTGACAGCACGTGCTTTATGAGAGCACACAGCACGCGCGCGCACTTTCAGTTTCGTCATTCATGTAATTTGTATTTTATAAAAGAAATAAAAAAATTGCTTGCTGTTCTGTGTGGAGTTATAAAGCACTTTGGGATTGGCAGATCACCCGAGAGGTGTCGTTCTGCCAACCTCGGCGTGCTTCATAACTGCACACAGCATGCGCGTGCGTTTTCTATTTCTTTAAACTTATGTGTTTTTACTGTATAGTTAATCCCATCACTGAGGAGAAATTCCATCAGGAATATAATCCACCGATAGAAGGTAGCTACACGGGGATCAATAAGCAAGAAAAGGTTGTTACTGTGGTGGACTCATCTAATGACAGAGAACAAGTACAACAGAGGTAAGCGGGCTATTCCCGATATGACACTTCTGACAATATTCACAGTATTGATTCTACATGGGGTAAGATGTTGAATCACCCGAAAAACATTATAGTTTGAGTGCGGCTTCTTGAAGTTTAAAGGTTTTTCTATGCCATATGCTAATATAGAGAATCATGTAGAATCAAGACTGTGAATATTGTCAGTGATAGGCACTTTAATAAGTGGGTAGACTAGTCTTTACCCCATGCTTTGGGTGATTATTTCTCCGGGTATTTGGTTTTCCTTCCTTCACGAAAACTAAAACTAGAGAGTTTTAGATTGACTTTTTTTCCCCCCGCAAACGGCAAACGTGACCACGTTTTCATAGTTTTCCTTAATTTTTATTAACCTTTCACAAACCTTCTCACCAAGCACAAATACTCTTTTGTTTTTCTACTACTTGGACTTTTTTGCGATTCTTTTTCAGTAATTTAAAAGAATTTTTTACTGGTCAACTGACGTTTCACGTTTGCCGTGAACGTAAATCTAAAACTCTCTACTGTCTTAGTTTGAGCTGCAAACGGTGGTCAAACACGGGCCATATTATATACATAGCAATATAGTTAAGTGTGCCTTTACGGGCTTTAGACTTTACCACTTTGGGCCCCCTCCTTCTAAGTTCTGCTTTAGTGCAGCTAGAAAAGACAAGGTGCTCCCCCAAATGTCTGAAAACATAAAATTTACATTTCAATGTTTTCTGTTTGCAGGATCACAGGTTTCCTTGACGCCTGGCCCAAATTAGAAAAATGGTTCACTAGGTTTGGTGTTTTACAGAAGTTGAACGCAGACAAACCGCAAGGTAAATAAACGCAAATTTCTTCGTCAAAAAAGATGGTGGGGAAAAACCCCTCTTGGCACGCACGCTTTATCGATTTCTACAGCAATAAAGAAAATCTTTTATAATTGTTTGCATTTTGATTTGATAGTTTTGTTATTTTTTCGTTGAATTAGATGACTTGTATGAAGAAGCTTCTGGTATCCTAAATGAAACGTATCAGAAAATAATGGCCCCACCTGAAGAACCAGCATCTGTAAGTTTCACCCCTATACGTACTATACACCCACCTTTGTGACATATGCGTTATAAGTTATAAGTACCTACAAGAATGCCTTTGTCTTTCATTAGACAGGTTTTAACCAATCTGTACCCTTTGTGCTTGCTTCAGTGACCTATAAGTGCACTACCTACAAGAGTACCTCATCTTTAGAGTCAGTTCTTTACCTGCTTTTGGCACTCGTAGGAGGAAGAGGGCCCTTTTTTCTCCTTTCTCCCTCCCCCGCCCCTCGGGCCTGAAACTCAGGTTACAGGGATCTCAAATTTGATAATAAAGTTTTTACAGTTTTTTATAGTGTTTTTACTTTCTTTATACTTTCTAGGAGGCAGCATCAGTCCAGCAATCTGTCGCACCAGAAGGTAATTGCTGATGCCAAACGTTTTTCCCCAGCGGATTTGCTTTTCTTCATATTCTTTAGTAAATCTTCTCTATCTCCCCTTCTTGCGCTAATTATTCCATGACGATTCCCTTTCTCAGGCGAGGCTCAACCACTGGAGGAGCCATTACCAACAACAGGAGGGGCACCTCCCGAGGGAGGAACTCCCGCGGAAGCTCAATCTACAACATCCCCTGTGGCACCCTCCGAATCTGCCATCAGCAAGTCCGAAAAAGGAGCTACAAAGACGAAAAGCAAGACAGGTTCTCCTAAAGGAAGCCGAAAAATGAGCAAAAAAGATCGTTCGCCATCTCCCTCTGCTTCTAAAAAAGGTGTCAAAAGTCGCTCACCCTCCCCTCCCTCCAAGAAGGGTTCTGGCTCTCGTGCTGGGTCCAAGTCACCTCCGCCGTCTAGAAAGGGGTCGAGACCTGGTTCTAAAGGGTCACGTCCTGGATCTAAAAGGGCTAAATCTCCGAGTAAGTAAAGATCCTTGATAGAAATTTATGCACAGTTGTGACAATTGTTATATTACACATCTAATGAACTGTAATATAATTTACGTCCAACATAGACCTTGTCTGAGATAACGAACATGGTGCATTATGGTCTAGCTTGGGTAAAACATCTTTTGTCCATTAAGCTAACCCTTAATGCGTCATGTTTATGGATCTCAAAAAAGGACTATGCAGGTAGCAATTGCTCAGTCACCTGACCAATAGGCCCGTGACTAAAACGTTTGATGCCAGATCCAATACACCTTTTTCGTGGTGTGACAATGTTTTCCCAATTCAGCGTGACAAACCTCCAGAGGATTCATTTTCTTTTGTTTTTACTCTTCGAAAAAATTCATGAGTATCCCAAAGGATACGAAAGGAATAACGATGATATCCCGACGAGTTTCAAAACAATAGCTCTTCATTCCCCCTGAGGTTTGTCACGCTCAATTGGGAAAACATTGTCACACCACGAATAAGGTCTATTGGAATTTGAGTTAATTTTTGTAGAGGGAGGAAACCCGAGAACTCGAACAAAAACCCTCAAAGCACTAGAGAAAACAATGATAATAAATTCTACTGACATGTATTGGCTGGTTCAGGGGTCGCACTCACGACAGTGCATTGACGACGTGCGCACACTACGTTTGCTTCCCAATCATTCACGAACGTTTGACGATTGAGTGAGAATCTAACGTCGATGCTAGTACGATAGTGCCCCGATAGCTTTAACTAATAATGAATTTTATATTTCAAGAAAAAGGAGAAGAACCAGAAGAGGAAACGCCCCCAGAACCAGAAGGACCACCTGAGCCAGAACCTGGATCTGATGAATGGGAATATATTGATCAACCCATTGAAAAGGTACCAGTCTTTTCTGTTAGTTTACCTATGGTTTATGTACTGTGTCGTGACTTGCTTGTTTACTGATCAATATTGATTCTAGGAATAACATAAAAGGGAGAGGGGTGGTGATTGTAGCAAACCAAAGCAAAAGAAAAACATTTAAGAATCATCCATATGCCAGATTGCTGTAGCATGCAGGCGTAATATGTGCGCTGGCACTGACGCTGAAAATTCTTGCGCAGACTAAAAGTGGATTGTGTTTGTATAATTTGCTATGTTGCCATTGTTCCCCCCTTCACCTCCCACCCCCTCCCACCCCTCTCCACCCCCCTCTCGCCTGCCCGGGTTCGAGTCCTGCCGGTCTCGGTGTCGTATGTGAGTAGAGTTGTTTATTGGTTCTCTCCTGTGCTTCGAGGGTTTTCTCCAGGTTCTCCGGTTTTCCTCCCTCCGCAAAAATCAACTACTAAATTCCAATTGGAATTACAGTTGATGAAGAGCAACTCTGTGGAAATGCCACTGCTACATCCTATTTATTTATTTATTTTATTTATATGCGTCGTTTATTATATTATGTTTTCTCATTTCCTTAGGAGTTTGCGTCTGTTTTGGCTCGCCAGTGGGAGAACAACGAAGACATTTACATAGAGACATGTAAAACTATCTTCCGTAAGATAAGACACGAGAGAGAGCTTATGTATCGCTACTTTTACGGTACAAGGTAAGACCTTTGTTCGTTCTTCGTTTTTTTCCCCTCCCCTTCCCCCCTCCCTCCCTCCATCCCTCTTTCCCTCCCTTCCTCCCTCTATCCCTCCCTCCCTTTCTCCCTCTCAGATCCCTCCCTCCCTCTCTAGCTTCCTCTTTTTCTTTCTTCCCTTTCATCTTCCTTTCTTCTTTCCATCCTCGCTTATTTTGTTTATCCTTTTATTGCACCTTTTTCATTTAGGAAAGATTTTGTCGAATTCCTGAAGAGACCAGACGAAAAACAAGAATATGTTCTTCAGTGGCAAAAGGTGCGTAACTGAAATCTAGTATTTTGAAGAAAAAAAGTCGAGAAAAGCCGTGTTAGGATTTTGTCAGGAAATTAAGTATTGTTTTGACTTAACTATTTTACTGTTGTTGTTTTTTCTTTGAGAAATAGCAATTCTTTTCATACAATAAACTCTTATCAACAACAATAACAACAATAACAACAGCAGCAACAACAACAATAATAAGTTTTGTCTATGATTTAAGAGACTGATGATATGCAGGCAATAAGAACCAAGTTAAGAGTTAGGGTATGGTGAACACTAACTTGTGTGATTATTCTCTTTAGGAGTTTAACGAGATCGCTGAAGACATGCGCAGTGATGACGATACCAAGGCTGAATGGCATCAACGAGTCGATGTGAGTTACTTACTATATCGCCTTTCTCTCATTAGAAATGCCTATTGCTCTCTATTGCTCCTGTGTATTTTTTGTCTTCATCCCTCACAGCCTTTCCTTTTTCCTTCCTTCCTTCCTTCCTCCCTCCCTCCCTCCCTCCCTCCCTCCCTCCCTTCCTCCCTTCCTTCCTTCATTCCTCCCTCCTCTATCTCTCTTGTCTTCAATCCACAAATAACGAAAGAACAGCACAGTTCTGACACTTCTTACATTTCTTTATTTCTTAACTTTGTGGTTGTTATATTAATTCAACGTTACCCAGGACTTGTGTGATCGCCTGCACGAGATCTGTGATAACCGTAAAGAGATGGCAGAGAGAGAACGACAGACTATCATGAACGAAGGATGGATGGAAGACCGACTTGGCGTGCTAACAAACCACTATATTGGGCTAATGCAAGTCGAGGTGGATCGCTATCAGGATACTATCAGGCTGCTCAGAGACTATTACATGGGGATGGAAGGTAGGCCATTTATATCAGCCAATCCGAGTTTGACAACAAGACTGGGTCGAGTTGGCATAGCAGTGCATTGTGGGAATGTTTCATGAAGTCATCAATACATCTTTACACATTTCTTTATATAAAATGACGTCAGCAATACATTTCTTTATACATTTTTAACGACGTAATGACGTCATCAATACATTTCTTTATACATTTTTAACGACGTAATGACGTCATCCATACATTTCTTTATACATTTT